TTAAAAAATATAATAATTTTATATTTATTCATATAAAAATATTAAAGAGACGAAACTTTTGACGAAATTATAATTTTTCAAAAAAGAGTTTAATCAGGTATCACTAGAGATATGGCTTCATTTCATTATAGATCTGCTTTCTTGTAATCTGATCTGTAAGTTTCTTATCATTGGACCTAAGCTTCACAACTTTATCTTCGAAACTTTAGAGAATAAATAATATAATGTAATCTCTGATCGCTTTGCTATAATTGTTTTATTTCTTGCAACATTTACCTGATAGAATGAATTGGCAAGTTTTTTGATGCTTATTGATCTGAAAACTATTGTTTAGGAAGAAGAAAACTTTATAGTCTGGAGTAGTTCGTCAGATGAGAGTAGCTCTTTCAACAAATCTTATATAAATTCAGTTACTATACTCGAGAAAGCCTGAACATTTCCATTATTCTCAGTCAGTAGGATGTGATCCCTTTGTGATTCCCCTAGTAAGCTATCAGAAGAATTTTCTTTTCTCGATCTTTTCATCTCTACATTTCTATCTATTTCCAGACAGATGTTGGGAGAAGTATTGGCAATTTCTTCCTCTTGTTTTTATCTCTCATGTGTTGATTTTGAATTTTCAGAAAACCTCTTAACTTTGTTAAGGGTTTTGTATCACGTGATAATTCAGAATTTTCAGGATACCTATTAATGGTTTTTATATCATATGTTACTTCTGAATCCATTGTAAGACTTTCTTCCTGAAAAGTATTTGCAATGATCAATTGAGAAGCAACTACCACAGTTTCTGATACATAATCAGTATCAGAGATGCTATCCTGGTTAGCTGATTCACGCTGGAGTTTCTTCTCCTTATTGTATTGCATAATATCTTCACTAACGCTTTTCTTATATATCTCAATCAAGAAATTATTCATCTCTTTCTCCTGCAATGGTTTATCATAATGGTCTACATCTGAATTGAAGTTAGGTGATTTGTTGTTAGGAGTATTATCATCTTTCAACTGCTTTTGTTCCAATTTCGCAACTCTATCATTAGTATTTTCAATTCTATCATTGGTGTCTTCAATTCTAGCATCATGTTAGTTATTTTCTTCTATTATCTGCTTCATAAGCTTCACATTTCTGGCCTCTATCTTAACATTCCTAGCTTCAACTTTAGCAAGCTTCTTTCTAAGTTCAGGAATCTCAGCATTTTCAGCTTCAAGCTTAATAATCTGTTGTCTCAATAAATCTATTTCAGATTGTATTGCCTATATTGAAATGATAATTATTTTTATATTCTATATCAGTGTTAGGCAATTGGACAATTTTGGACAATTTTGGACAGATTTTGGACAGGTTTTGGACACAATTTTATATGTCCAAAACCTTGTCCAAAATATTTAAAATTAAAAAATAAGTCCAAAACCCATCATTGCTTTATATGATAGTATTCAAAATCGGCAAAATATCCCCTTCAATCAAAGATCACTTTTTTCTTATAAATTCAGCTTGAAAAAAGAAAAGCTATCTAGATAAGCTAATAGGGTAAGTAAGTAGAGTTAGCTATCTTCCACAATGCTAAAGGTACAAGAGAGGGGTGAATAACTATCAGGATTTTTCAATCAGAAAAAATGAAGAGACGGATGCTGTGCATGGATCAGCAAATTTTTTCAAGCTGGTAATCACTACTCTAGGATGATGATCAGTATTTCAGACTTGAAATTTTCTGCATTAAATGTATTATTTTATTATAAAAATCATGACAAATAATCCCGAATGCTTAATCAATTATATGAAATGCTATTATATAAGAAGAAGAATATAATAGCTATTCAGAAAAAACTCAGTATTAGTGGTAATACAAATCAAATGGTAAACATTGAAGCAAAAAAGCAGAAAACACTTGCTGATTTATATGAGCTATTGTTAGAATTGGTAGGGGATTTAATACTGATACAGGAGAATCTCAACATTGATGGTAATCTATTCTAGAAGTGGAATATCAAAGCAATGAAGCTTCTACAGATATTTCATTGAAGGAAATATTTAATTTGCTTATATATTTAGAAGAAGATATAATAGCAATTCAGGAAGAACTCAATATTATTGGCTATACTAATCAAGAAATGGCAGAAGAGGTTGATAAAATCGCAAGAGAATATCTTCAAAAGTTTGAGGAATACCATAGCTACTTAGAAGATGTTCCAAGTGTATTAATACATAAATTCATTGATAGAGAAGTAAAAATGTTTTATTTTACCAGAGAGGGGCTATCATTATTCCCAAAGGTCTCTCCTCAACAATTACACGAAATATTTATTAAAAATACATCTAGTGCTGACCAGCTCCTATGTTTAGAACAGGTTAGTTAATCTATATTTTTTTGTTATACAGAATACATCTAGATGCGAAAAAAATCTTCTAAGCTAATGATCACTACTCTGGATTAGTTAGATCAGTAGAGTTCTATCCTGCTTGATCGTTGAGTAATCTATCAATAGATCTCAACATTAAGGTAAAAATGATACCTTGAGTCAGTGTTTATCTGTTTATAGCTATAATGGGGTAATCAGTATCAGAGTCAACTATTATAGATATATTGAAATTAGGTTATCGAGATGCCTGGTGAGACTGAGTTCTAATATTAACAACTAGAGGCTGTATTGATATTAGCTCTATTATTCACTCTATATCAGCTCAAATATCATCGCATCCTAGAAATTTTCGATATAAGTATTTGGATTTAACTGATCTATGGTTTCTTTACTAATTTTATAATACCCTCTCAAATTTAGATATTTTAAATTAAGACATGATTTAGCAATTTCTTCGATAGTTATATCAGTAATTTCACAATAGCTAAGATCAAGTTGCTGGAATCTTAGGCAAGAATGAATAATATTACAAATTGATATTTCAGAAAACTCTTTACGATTAGAAATATTTAGACATTCTAATTTATAACATGAATCTGCAATTGCAGTTATACCTTTATCATTTTTGATTGAAATGCATTACATAAAGTAAATATATTGAGATACTCCAAATTTGAATATGATACTGCTATTAGCTTTAGAACTTTCTCAACTGACTCAGATTCTATACTTTCTTCAAAATCTAAATGAATTATGTTTTGGAACCTACGTATAATACTTTTGATTTTTATTTGAAAGCTGGTAATCTGATATTTTAATATGAGTTAATTTCAAGCTATAAATTGGTTTACGCCCTCCCCTATGTACTATTTTTAAAAATCTTTTTAATTGAGTTTGATCATCCCTAATACCATTTAGCTCAATGAATTTCTATAGAATAAGAGTACCACATCTGTATTACAATCAGAATACGAATAGAGTGGGGTAGAGGGATTTATCTACTGCTAGAAAATATAAACCTATTCTAATATTTCTGCTATATTAAAAACACTTGTATGCGTCATAAATAATCTGTATTATACGTTGTATCTTTAAACAAAAAAAATCTTTCGAGCAAGATTAAAGGCGCTTCGCATAGATCACTGCTCTGAACTAAGCCTTTCCACTATCTTATCTAATGCAAGTACCTGTAAATCATCTATAAGAACTTTAAACGTATTCTCATATGATAATCCTCTAAAGAATATATTTTTAAAAAGTTTTTTAGGATAACTTATGCAAATGTTATTCTCTTTCAGCTTCAAATAAAATTCCTTTACTGTATAATTACCTTGAACTAATAATCTAGTCTGAAAATCGAAAAGAGTTTTTCTTTTAGACTATTCAAGATTTGCCTCACTTTTCCATATATCATTTATACTGCAACACTTTTTTAGATCCTATACTGGAAGATAATTAAGTAAATTAGTTGTATACATTTTATATAGTTAGAAAATTTTTTAATTGAAAAATAAACCTTTATTCAACGCTCTTAATTATACGATAAGATATTATGCAAAGTGTCTAATTCTTTAAACCCCTTTAGCTTAGCTCACTTCAAACTACAAACTGTTTAACCTTTCTTCGTCATATTTTCTTTGGTACTTATAAGAAACGGTCTTTTTATCTCTTACCTGAATTATCTCAACTGAATCAGAATCTTCAGAAGACTTAGATGAATAGGAGAGACTCTTACGTTTTTTAATATTTATTGAAAAAGCTATTTTTTGTATTAAGTCAACCACAGTTTTCCTATCTATACATTTGCCTAGATCTTTTAATTCATCTTTTAAGAATTTCACATCACTTTCCAATCCTTTTACCCTCCTTACTAAAGTATTATATTAGGTATGATAATCTTTTAATTGTTTCTTTAGTGTCCTATTTTTACCGAAAAATACACTATACATATATGCATTTTGTTTGTCTAGTTCAAATATCTGGGCTAATTTTCTGTGTATCTGATAACTTTCTGCTCGTTAGGTGTACTATCAGATGAATGTTTTGTTCAGTTACTATTTTTGTGATATTTTATATACGCTATATCTTGCTTCAAACAAAAAAAATAAATTAATAAATGAATACCCTGATTCTCTAATCCATATACTGTATGTGATTAGTTTTCATTAAAGAACTTGAATGACTTTGCCTGGTCATAAGATTGCCTCTTTCGATGAAAATTGATTGTAGTATAATTTTGTGCTAGGGAGGCATAGTTGTTAGGGCTGTGCTGAAAGGCTTAATATGCAATGGTCATAGCTTCTGATAAATTCTTCGCACTATTTGACATGATTGCAAATATGGTGCCGGAAGTCTATACTCGACAATCACGTGATTTTATTTCAAAATTTCCAAAACTGATCCTTAATCACGTGACATAATATCAACCAATAAATCCAAGAATTTTGTATCACGAATACGCGTTAATATTTTTCAACAACACGACACTACTATACCACACGTCATTCAAAAAAATCCCTACTATCATACTATTCAGAAAACAGATATCGTATCATAAAAGCTAAGTATATATGATATTTATTGCATTTCAATTTATTTATTTATTACTGTCTAACTAATTCATTATTCTTTCAATATTTTTGGGTAAACGACGATGGGATTTATATTTATTAACAGCCCACTCGGCAGTCCTACCCTCTAATCCTTTATTATATGCGTCCATGTACCTCATGACTTTCATGCAAACTTACGGATAGTTGTTACAGGAACGCTAATAAGAACTTCTGGAACCTGTATTAATAAATCGGCAAAATTATAACTGCATATCCGTCTTGTTTCTCATTTCACAAAATCCCAGTATCATTCTATGAAGTTGCACTCACAATGGAACTTTAGGTATCGCTCGAATATATGATTTGCTTCAATTAATGCTTCTTCTAATATTGATTTTTGTTCACGAAAATCGGGTTGTAACGACATAATTCTCCTTGCGCAACAATCAGATCTTTCTAAATCAACATCTTCTTGTTTTCCAGAGCACTGCTCACACATCAAACGAATACTTTTATCTGGCCAAAGGTTATGCTCCTTAAGTACTTGCTTGATACCCTTTGGCTTCCCTTTTAGTTTATGATCTTTGTGAAATATCATTGACTGTACACGCTTCTGTTCATTTTCATCAATATACCAACCATCACGCATCTTAGGCTGTACTCCTCTGGGCTTAGGTTCATTCTTGTCGCGATAAGTGCATCAGCTGCCATTGCATTGTGATTTGTAGATTGATCAAAGCAAAAAACTCCAAT